ATTTATTCGGCGATGGCATCGAATCACTGCAAGAGGCCCGAGGAACGAAGTCGAGCAAAGTCTGATAGACGAATTTACGGTCGAAAATAACATAACCTACTACACAGCCGGCCAAGATGCTCGAAAAGTCGTCGTACCCGACTCCTTCAGATTCGAAGTCCTGAAATGCTACCACGATAGCGAAGAAGCAAATCACCCCGGCCAAGAGGAGACTGCAAGAGCCATTAAAGAAATTTATTACTGGCCGACGATTTCAAAAGACATAACGAACCACGTGAAATCATGTATGGTATGGGCCACGACGAAGGCCGGAGCGAGACAAGTAAAAGCACCAATAATTCCGAGGGAGCCCGTAAATCCTTGGGAAAGAATATCGTTCGACATCCTAGGCCCATATCCAGCTGCAAGAGGTACTAAGAATAAATACATCCTTCTAGCTACCGATTGTCTTAGCAATTGGATTGAATATAGATGTGCTACAGCCGCCAAAAGCAGAGACATCATCCGATTTTTACAAGAAGAAATCTTAAACAGATGGGGAAGACCATCTACTATCATTACGGATAATGGTGTCCAGTTCAGAACCGATGCTTGGAAGCAGTTCCTCCGTAAACACAATATTCAAGGCGAGAGAAGTAAGATATAGCACCAGCGGGCCAACCCAGTGGAAAGAAGAGTGCAAGAACTCAAGAAAGGTCTCCGAGCCCGTGTATCATCCCCAGAGGATCCAAGATGGGAAAACTACGTCGCCGACGTCATCTTCAGCCTTCGTACAAGACAAAACGATGCAACAGGCCAAACTCCGGTGGAGTTATTACTAGGCTACCGGCCTAGACGATCAGAAGAAACAGAGCACCAGGTCCACCAGCAGGAGACACGCCAGCAACGAGTAGAGAGAGCCGTGCAGCGTGCCACCATATATGCGAGGAACCTATTTCCGGACCAAGAGGACGTCCGACAACCCCGGACATACCTGCAGGGCGAGCAGGTCCTAATACAGAACCACGTGAAGGGAAATTTAGGTCCTGCCTGGACAGGCCCTCACACCATCCTCAGAGCAACAGGCGACCATACGTACGAAGTACGTAGAGACAATGATGTAGACAGAGTCATCCACATAGATGACATCCGACCAGCTCCACCGCCACGAGATGTGCTCGTATAAGCCCCACGTAAGTGTTTAAACAGATTAACATTTTCTTACATCTACCATTTTTTCGAACTATTTTCAAAGTGTGTAAACTAACATTTTCATAATTCACAACTTTGCAAACTTTTTTCCTAAGTGAAAACCGGTGATTTAACATGTTTTCGTCGAAATATTAGTGTTTAAATACCACAAACTAACATTTTGTTTTATATCTCCTAAAAAGACAATATATTTTGAATATTCTAAGTATTTTCTTTATCGGAAGCTTGCGAAGTCACTTTTAATTCGTATTTTTAACATTTGATTTTAATTCATAACATAGACTTTAATTTTTGGACCTAGCAACTTCTCAGTAAAACACTTAGATTTTTAAAATACTCCCGAGATTATATCGTATTAACTCAGGCGATCCTAGAAACGATAGTTGTTAATCGTAAAAACGTGTTAGTTTTTCTTGTTATTGTTTTCTTATCAACGGACATCGTTATTTCGTTATTTGTGTAAATACAAAGCGATATGTGACAATTTAACCGAAACAATAATTTAACGTTAATAGTTCAAAAGTGCATTGGTAAATTTGACTTTCCAGTGGCGTTACAAAATTCAGGTAATCTGTTATTTTTAATCCTTTTATCCACAGAGTCCCTCTAGGACGTCTGTTGCATTAATAATAAAAATTTATGTGTAGTAGTTTTGGTATCCAGAACCGCTCACTAAAATGACCTCAATTACTACTCAAATTACCTCACAAAATAACACAATCAATAATACTAAGTCTTATGTTGCTGCCACATTATCTAAACCTCCACCTCCTACGTCTCCTCATAAAATCAAGCTATTATCTTACATGCTCTTCCTAATGTCGTTCTATTTGAGTACATAAAAGCTATAGGAGACATCGTTACCCCTAAAAACATCATCTTTGCGTCTCGAATCTCCAATAAACGTATTTGTATTTATTTAAACTCTGTTCAGATTCCTGTTCTAGCACTCGAACGAGTACGACGTGTGTGACAATTAAAATCCAGTTTACCTTATCGGTAGTAATTAGTGTTTAATTTAGATTTAATAGTGTAATTTCGAACAGTGATTTCTGGACAAGCTTTGTACGTATTGCTTTTGTTATATTATTAAATCATATAAATTATATTTAATTTATACAAAGTGCATACCAGAGACTGGTTTTACCAGTCTGCTGGTTCTTGCTGGCCATCCAATTTAATGGATTTTAATACAAATTTGGATAGCAAAATTAGTTAAAGAAGAGAAATAAAACGAGGTTACTGTCTGTATTTACATGGACAGTACAAATATAAACAATACTGCTACAGTTTCTACCTTAACAATGGCCCTTCAAACTGCTACAAACAACATTCCAGCAACTACATCTCTTTCATACGTAACCGCTGCAAAATCTACACCAAAACCATCTTTCCCAAAAAAAGAACAGGCGATAGTTCTTCACGCAGAAGAAAACCTTAAACTTCTAGACTACGTTAAAGCCATTGGTGACATCATCGGACCAAAAAATATTTCCTTTGCATCCAGAATATCTAACAATAGGATCTGCATATATCTAGTGAACTCAAATCTCGTTGATCAACTGCTGAAATCCCATCCAACCGTTCAAATCGGACGCCTTACTTTAAGTATTCGTAAACCTGTCCCCCCAACAAAAAGAATATTAATTTCGAACATCTCTCCTTACATTCCCCATGAACTGGCCGAAAATGCAGTGAAAAGTCTTGGTTTCCAAATAGCCTCCCCCGTGTCCTTTCTTAAAGCGGGCATTCCAGGTGATGAATACTCCCACATACTTAGTTTTCGCCGTCAAGTATATATTTTTCCTCCCTCTGATAATTTTGAGCTTCACACCTCCTTGTTAATTCCTTTTGAAGGCAATGATAATAGAATTTTTCTGTCTACGGACAAAATGGAATGTTTCTTATGCAAACAATCAGGACATGTTGCTTCTAATTGTCCCAATACTTCATCTGACAACTTATCATCTGAAAATCCTACTGTTTCCCATGTCCTCCCAAATCCCCCCACCGAATCAACGTCACAGCAACAGAATACACAATTTCCATCTCATTCTGAATCATCTCCCTCCCAAACAAATCTATTTTATTTGTCTTCTTCCCCAGAGAATTGCGAAAATGATACAATATCTGAAAAGTCAGATAAACTATGTTTAAGTTCTCATCTTTCACAGAAAAAGCCACGCTCATCTGTATCATCTATAAGCGATAAGAACCTTCAATCTGGGGAAAACCCTGCAACAGAACAAACTATGTTTCCTCCCAAACAAACAGTTCCTAGTTCCTCTAGCACCTCCAACACAAAAAAGAAACGAAAACGTAGTTCTTCTCTCGACCCCAGTCTATCCACTGACTCCAAGCAAGCAATACACGAAGCCTATAAACAAAACCCAGAAGCTTTTGCAGTTCCTCCTGATGATATAATTGCCTTTATCGAGAACGTGTAGCGTTTACGCTACTGATTAACCCCCTCAAGAAATTTTTGGTGATCCGCCAGCGGTCGATTTTTAAATCGACATTTCTCCACTCACGCGCTGGGAGCGCTTTGAAAGGATTGATCGATTTTGTGCGGTAGAAAAGCAGTCAGTTTTGGTCAGAACTCATACGCAGCCACGTCAACCGGTGAAATTTTTTCACCTTCAAAGTGACGGAATTGGAGCAAGGAAGATAATTTGGGGAAGAATAAAATAGAAATATTAATATTTAATAATTAATTTTTTAAAATCAATACTAATCTAAGAGTTCCACATAAAAGGAAGATTTTTTTGGCGTGCTGCGGCTCCATGTAAGTAAATAATTTCATACCTATTATCTCTTTATCATACAATCAAATTTATCCTTGCAGTTAAGTATTTCTTTAGAGATTATTTTTTTTTTTGAGTTCCGAAATAATTTAAATTTAAAATTTCCTTCATTTACTCGCAAAGAACATAAGGTCATTTTTTATATAGTCAAACTTAAATTCCGATCTATTTCATATCTTATCAGTAAGTTTTTTTTGGTTCTTTTTCTCTCACTTTTTTGGTGGAATATAAAGGTTCTTCAGCCTTCTGTATTCTGCGCATGTTCATTTCATGGCGCAAGCTTGCCATGCCTACGAAAGTAACTTCATAAATTTGACATGATGTTGACATAACCTAATACCTAATGTTTTGATGTTTTGTTTTGGTGTGGTCAATCCACGCTGCTACAGCTATTGAATTGCATTTATTAAATTACATAACTCTTTTAGATTCCGTCACTTCACTTGCGAGTATTCTCTTGAGAATATTCCCTCAAGGATATTAGTAACTTTGAATCCTTAAATAGTTAGCAACTCTCCTGGATTTTGCCGTCACTCCAGATAGCCCAGTGACTGGTTTTATGCCCAGACTCACCTAGGATTTGTCCTTTATAGCAACAAACTGATTTAGCCGTGCCAAGAGGAGTTTTTCCTATGGACTTATAGTGCTGTAAAGATAAGTTGTTTAACTATTTGACTTTTTGTGTTACTTTCTATTTACTGTTAACTTTCATATGCATATGATAAGGTAAATACCTTTGTGATAATTTAATTTTTGATATAATATAATTTTGATATTATTGGGAGAGAAGAAAATACCTTTAATGTTTTTATTAGGTTTTTTTTTAACTAATGATGTAAAGGGTTTGACCAAACTCATTTTTTTGATATAATATTATTTTTTTGATACAATAGAATTTTGATTTTGGGGAAGGGAAATAAATTTCATGTGGCGATCTCCAGGGAGCTGGAAAGGAGCGCTCACCGAGTTCAGCGCTCCTTGAAGGAGAATAAGAAGAGGGAGGCTATGTCAGCCGCTGAGTCGACACCGCTTTCAAGAAAAGCGCTAGGCTGCACCGTCAGCACACAAACAGTAGCGGTGCAATGTGGACCCTCGGTCGGCGTTCAGGTTGGTCTGGACGCCGAGCTGGAGGACAAAGAGAGGGCTGCATGCATTCGGGAACGAATGCTGGCAGCAGCTACAGGTACGGCGGAAGAGGTCATGGACCTCATCTCCGAGGAATGGCCCGAAGAGCTCTTCACGGCGTCGAGCTGGAGCGATGTCGGGCTCTATGACTCACCCGGGGACGTGGCGGTCCTTATTACTAAGGACGCTGCCGACGCGGAGGTGGTGGCAAGGCTTAGGGAGAAATACCCAGATCTGCCTGGTGCCGCTGCCCCCGTTCGCGAAGGGGGAGCCGTGGGGTCTGTCGTCGCCAGGTTCGACACCGTCGAAGAGGACGGCAGACGGGAGTGTGCCGAGAGGTGGGCCCACAAGCCTATCCCCTCAGAAAGTGACGAACCTGCGGCGGTCAGGTTTCTGAGAGTTGTCTCAATGCTTGTCTGCCGCATGGAGCAACATGGGCGCAAGAACGTGGGGCTGCATGCCCCGGCAGTTCTTGGTGCAGAGGTCGCCAGGAAGCTGGCGGAGTGTGCAGCCATTGGTAAAGACGTGACGATTACTGTTCACGGGAACAGTAGGAGGACGGCTACGGAGAGACCCCCCCCGGTCCACAAAGGGGATCGTCCTTATACATAAGGAGCAGGGCAGGTCATACGCCGATCTGCTCAAGGGGCTATCGAGTGACTTGTCTGGAAAAAATGAATGTGTGGTCACTCGTGTAAGGAAAAACAAGAGAGGAAGGGGTCGTCCTCGAAGTAGAGGGCGGCAGAGAGATGGCTGAGAAGGTCAGGAGAGCCATCTCCACCGGCGGCTCTGGCGCGGTCAAATCGGCCATCGCGAAGGGCGGCAGTCGGATGAGGAGGGTTCTCCTGACCGGTCTGCATCAGATCACCACGCCGGAGGACGTGGTGAAAAGTGTGAACGAATTTGCAGGTAACAGTGTTGTCTGCGAATTAAGAGGGCTTCGGCTTTCACGTGGGGGCGGCTCCGTCACCGTGGAAGTTGAAGAGAGAGTGGCCACACGGCTGATTGAGTGTGGCAAGCTCCGGGTGGGTTTTGTCACCTGCCGGGCTAGAGAGAAAGTAAGACTCGCTCGGTGCTACAAATGCCAGGCATTTGGGCATCAAAAGGGTGAATGTAAGATGCAAGAGAGGAAGGGTTGTAGGAGATGCGGCAAGGATGGCCATGTCTCCTACGATTGCAATGAAAGAGAGAAATTCTGTGTGACTTGTATGCAGGGGGGCCACTCGAGTGACAGTCGAGCGTGTCCAGTATTTAGACGTCTGGTTGACGAGGCTAGGGGTACGTCCGCTGGGGCGGCCCAGGGACCGGCGTGACTCTCTGTCCGAGATGGCGACCACACGTCTTCCTCGACTGAGGGTCCTCCAAACTAACGTGGGCACGGCGAGATTGGCACACGATCTCGCTGTGGGGTTCGCCGCGACGGGTGACTTTGACGTCCTTGTCGCGGCGGAGCCGAACCCGACGTTGGTGAGGAGCCGAGGCTGGTTCGCTGATAGCCTGGGCGGTGTCGGTGTGTTTATCCGGAACCGTCAACTGAGAATCCATGGTATCGAATCCCACTGGGGTTTCGTGAATGTAAGGTTAGAGAACATGAGTCTCCTCTGTTGCTATATCTCGCCGAATATAACAGCAGAGGAATATGGAAGAAGGCTGGATGAGATAGTTGGCGTGATTGTTGGTGAGCGGCCGAAAGAGGTGTTAGTGATAGGAGACCTAAACGCGAAATCGGCGGCGTGGGGATCCCCGGTCACTGATGCCCGAGGGCAAATGTGGATGGACTGCCTGGGGGCCCTGGATCTGGTAGTATTAAACACCGGCCAGGAGCCCACGTTTGTGAGGGGCGGTTCTGGTACGCACATTGACGTCTCCTGTGGCTCCCATGAGGTAGCTCGGCACGTAAGTGATTGGGCGGTCTTAGCGGAGTACACTGGTACCAATCATAGGTACATCGCCTTCACGGTGGACGGCACTCCTGCTAAGGATATGTCTACCCGGCGGGGGGATGTAGGTATGATTGGAACGTGTACAAGGGTGCTACGCAATGGGAGATAGCGATGACTCGAGCCCTACCACCATCAGTGGAGGGACTCGAGCGTGTGGTGAAAGCCGGTCTGAGAGAAAGCAGGTACAGTACCGTGGGTGCTGACCGTCGTGTACCTTATTGGTGGAATGATTGCATTGCACGAATGAGGGAAGAGTGCCTGGCCCTGCGTCGCAGAATGACCAGGGCAAGGGTGAGAGAGAGCGAGCGAGTGTATCTGGAGTTGCTTGCCGAACACCGAGCGCGAAAGAGGGCAATGAAGGATCTTATCCGAAGGGAGAAGAAGAGATGCTGGAGGGATCTGGAGGACAAATTGAATGAGGACCTCTATGGAGATGGGTACAAAATCGTCATGAAGCACTTCGATGCCTACCCCCTCTACACCATGCCACTCGCGGACAAGACTGCTCTGGTAACAGAGCTGTTTCCGTCCGGCGGTTGGCATGGGGTGGAGTGGGAGGCCGAAGATGCAGGACGAATTGTTCCGTTCTCCCTAGAGGAACTCGCTGTTGCCAGTGGGGCCCTTAAGGCCGGAAAGGCTCCCGGGCCAGATGCGATACCGCCTGAGGCGGTTAAACACCTGGAACGCTTGGAGCCTGACTGGCTCTTGGGCCACATGAACGCACTGCTTGTCCGTCAGATTTTCCCAGCTTCTTGGAAGCTATCCAAGTTGGTGTTGATACCCAAAACCGGGGGGAAACACCGACCGATTTGCCTTCTTTCGTGCCTCGGAAAGTTGTACGAGAGATTGCTGAGAGCAAGAATCGAAGAGGTGATAGAGAGGTCTGGAGGGTTGTCCCCAGACCAGTATGGCTTTGTCGCGGGCAAAAGTACAACTGAGTGTGTGTTGGCGGTGTTTCGGGCCTTGGAGGGCAGCGGCAGCAAGTGGGCTGCTTTGCTTCTCTTCGACGTCAGAAACGCTTTCAATAGCATAAAGTGGTCCCACGTGATGAGCTCCTTGAGTGGACGGAATTGTCCAAAATATCTGAGGAATGTCGTCGCGGACTACCTGTCGGAGCGAAAGCTCGTGGTTGAGGGTCCAGTTGTGATCGACGTTACGGCCGGGGTCCCCCAGGGGTCCGTCCTTGGTCCGACGCTGTGGAACCTGGCATATGACGGGGTCATGCGCCGCGAATATGGTGAGGGGTGCACCCCTTTCGCATTCGCGGATGATCTCGCTGTGTTGGTCACGGCCCGGGACAGGGATGAACTGCTGCATAGGGGATATATGGCATCAAACGTCGTGAGCGACTGGATGGGCGACCATGACCTGGAACTTGCGGCGGGGAAGACCGAGACGATCGTCCTCAGAGGCCCTAGGGACAGGACGGGAGTGGTCTTTCGTTGTGCCGGGGTGGATGTGACCCCCAGAGCCTCTGTGAAGTATCTGGGGGTGAATATCCACACGAACGGACGGTGGGGGGAGCACGTCCGTGTGGTCGCACAGAAGGCTGCTCAGAGAGTGGCTGCGTTGAGCCGGTTGATGCCCAACATCGGTGGTCCTAAACCCGAAAGGAGGCGGGTACTACATGGTGTTGTGCATTCGACCGTCCTCTATGCAGCCCCAGTCTGGTATAGGGCGATGGAAACATCGTCCTATCGGGAGCGCCTGGTACGCGTGGATAGGACTAGCCTACTACGTGTAGCATGTGCCTATAGGACTGTGTCTGCGGCGGCCCTGTGGGCGATCACGGGATGTGTTCCCCTACACCTCATGGTGCTAGAGAGGGAGCGGCTTTATCGCGGTCGCCCTGGCGAGGCCGAAGAGCGAGCCTACACGTTGCTCCTGTGGCAGCGGGAATGGGATGCAACGGTGGATGTTGCACAGTGGACGAAGTCCCTGATACCGAACCTGACCAGATGGCTGACCTGTAAGCACCGGCGTTTAGATTATTATCTGACGCAGATGCTTACGGGACACGGTTGCTTTCGCAACTACCTGTACAGGTTTGGGAGAGCAGCCTCTGAGGTCTGCCCTTACGGGGACGGCTCGGACAGTGTGTCGCATACGCTGTTGGATTGCGTCCGTTTCACGCGGGACCGCAATCGCCTGGAACTGGAGCTGGGCCATCGCCTCGAGTCCGTGATCAGTCTTGTGGACATTATGCTCTCGGACTCGAGACGATGGAACAGCATTCACGGTTTCGTCAGGGCGATTCTGCGAAAGAAAGAAGAAGAGGAGAGACTACCTCCTGGAGGGAGATGAGTGTCGGCAAAATTTTATATGTATTTGTTTTATTTTGTTAATATCTGTTATTTTATTTATACACACTTTTTACCCATTTACACTTACATTTTACTTATTATTCAGTTCTATACACATTTCTTTTACTATATTTTTTATTTTTTTACCCACTATATACAATAATTTTACTTTTATTTATTTATTTATATTTATTTATCTATTTATTTATTTATTTATTTTACATATTTTATTTTTACATTCTATTTATACCTACAAATACATGTTGTGCTGTCCGAGTGTGTATGCGTATTGTACATGTGTGTTGTATATATGTGTATATGTGTGTGTATGTATATGTGTATATGTGTGTATATGTGTGTGTGTGTGTATATATGTGTGTATATATGGCACGTGTATGTAATCTGAGAGGGGTATTGCCCAGGGAAATCTGGGCATATACCCAGAGTGTTTGAAGAGAGGAATTACTTCGAGCGTGCGTGGTCTTTTCCCAGAACGTCGAGTGAACCTCCAATAGTAGAAATATGTGAAACATAGTATGTACCCGCCAGGGGTACACCTCATTGATACCTTGCGGACTATGTGTCAGAGCGAGAAATTTCCTGCACAGAGGTGACATAAGTCTGGGAGGCGCCAAAGTGAGAAAAGTTCCAACAGGATGGTCCCATTTGGCGCTCTCCGGAGAATATGGGGGTGGTGGTTTTAGCGGGTAACGAGCCTGGCATTCCACCTTTTGGCTCGAGTCCCGCACTGTTCTGTGGAGCCTTCAGCCCTGCAGTTCGGACATAAAGTCTTTCCACCACTTTGAGCAAGCAAAAAAAAAAAAAAAAAAAAAAAAAAAAAAAAAAAAATCTCTTGAGAATATTCCCTCAAGGATATTAGTAACTTTGAATCCTTAAATAGTTAGCAACTCTCCTGGATTTTGCCGTCACTCCAGATAGCCCAGTGACTGGTTTTATGCCCAGACTCACCTAGGATTTGTCCTTTATAGCAACAAACTGATTTAGCCGTGCCAAGAGGAGTTTTTCCTATGGACTTATAGTGCTGTAAAGATAAGTTGTTTAACTATTTGACTTTTTGTGTTACTTTCTATTTACTGTTAACTTTCATATGCATATGATAAGGTAAATACCTTTGTGATAATTTAATTTTTGATATAATATAATTTTGATATTATTGGGAGAGAAGAAAATACCTTTAATGTTTTTATTAGGTTTTTTTTAACTAATGATGTAAAGGGTTTGACCAAACTCATTTTTTTGATATAATATTATTTTTTGATACAATAGAATTTTGATTTTGGGGAAGGGAAATAAATTTCATGTGTTTTTTTTTAAACATTATATAAAGAGTATTGAGGACTCATTTTTTGGATGTAATATAATAATTGTAATAGATTGATCAAGTTTGATATCTTTACAATATTGTAATTAGTATCTCATTTTAGTAGAACTAATTTAAATTTAAATGACTACCTTTTTGTGTTAAGACTTTGGCTACAATACGGACTATTCTTGTTGTTTACTAACATTTCACACTTTACTTGGCCAGTGGTAGTGACTATTCGCTTATTGAGGGGCTATTAGGTCCTATTATATCTTTACACACCCACTACCACTGTTATTTAGTTTTTGCATTATATGTAAATTGTTAATACATATATATCTATCTACACATTTTTATAAATATATTTATTGTTACTATTTTGAGTTTTATTTCAGTTTCTACTAACCAGTATATAATATAGCAAAACAAGATTAGTATTCAGTATTTTGTATTTCAGGTTATTATCTCTAGTATCATTTGTTTTCGGTCATTTGTTACTTCAAAATCTCAACTATCGTTGAGTTGGCGCCATTCTTTTCTCTTCTTATTGTCCTTTTTCTATAAATTTATTCCCGGTGACCTTCTTTAGTTGTATCTAGTGATGTGAGTTGTAAAATTACATAACTTACGTTACATAAATTACACGTAACTTACGGTAATATTACATGATACCCGTAACTTAATGTAATTTATGTAATTTTTGGAATTTACGTAATTTATGAAATTTAACGTAACTTATGATAAATTTACATAAATTACCGTAATTTATGTAATTACTGGTAAAATTACATATATTATGGCAACTTATGCGCGCGCAATTGTCGTAAGTGCGGTGCGCCGGTGCCGGCGCGCGCGAACCAGTGGGTGCTATTACGCTCGTCGCTCGTTAGTCGTTCCTTAGTCTGAGTCAGGCAGGTTATGTTTACATTTCTGTTATTGTATGTGTAATGTGTATGTATAAGTTAGTTTTCGACTGTTCTTTCTCTATTCATTCACGCAGCGTTGGTTACTTTACATTTATTTATAAGGAAGCACAGAAACTATAAGGTAAGAAATATATTATTTCTACAAACAGCAAAACACGTGCCGGTGATGTCCATAGCAACCTTAGATTGGGAAACACAGGGGCGGGCCTATCGCATATCGACTGTACGTTAAATCTAACGCGCGTCATTTTATATGTGGCTACAGTACTTAATTCTGAATTCGGTTTACCAAGTTTTATTCGATTTTTTAGATTAGTTTACTGTACAATAACTATAAGAATGATAGGAGCAACGGGGTACTTGTGCATGTAGCATGTGTAATTGAATTACACTGACATAACTTACTAAATAAAAAATTTTGATAACGTTGAGGGCAAAATAATGTAGTTGTCCGATCCAGTATTCTGCTTATTCGAATTTCATTAAATTGTTACACAGATTCAATTTTAATCTTTCTTCTATTTAAGGATGCCTAACAATTTTTTATGCCCTCGTGCCCATCAAATACTTTGAAAAATAATGTTTTTTCCCTTCTTAATGTTTAAGTCTACCTGAATATTTTTTTTAGGTCATAAAACATGGTGAAACGTAAGACAGATATCTGGCTTTATTTTGAAGTGTTACCTGCGGGTTCTTCTAATCAAAAGACCATAAATGTGAGGTGTAAATTTTGCAAGAGTGTACATGCAAAAAATGCTACAAGAATGAAATCTCATCTTCAACAATGCACTTATGTGCCGCATATGATAAAACTTAAATTCAATATTTTAACTCCAAAGTCAAAGGGGAATCACTCTAAATTTCCATTTGAAACATCCATGAAAAAGATCACATCGGCAAAATTGGATAACGATAACACTGATGCTGCTTGTACATCATCAACGGTTTCCACAGCATCAACATCTGCTTCTGATAACATTCATGTGGAAACACCTGTTTGCACAAAAATCAACAGAATACAATCATTTTGTGATCGAATGACACACGAACAAAATAACGAATTGAATATTTTGCTTGCTAGAGCTATTTACACCAGTTCAGCACCACATTCAATTACCGAGAATGAAGATTGGAAATTGTTTTTTAAAAAAATTAGACCTTCATACACCTTACCATCGAGATATATGTTATCAAATCGTCTCCTGACCGAAGAGTACGAGCGAGTTGAAGTTCAAGTTAATGATAAAATTAAGCAAGCTGACAATTTATCATTGCAATGCGATGGTTGGTCCAACTTGCGAAATGAAAGTGTAATTAATTTCATTGTTACAACACCCGAACCGTTATTTGTCAAATCAGTACTAACAAAAGCAGAGAAGCATACCGCAGAATATATAACAAAATTAATGGTTGAAGTTCTGGAGGAGTATGGACCTAAAAAATTTTTCGCTATTGTGACTGATAACGCAAAGAATATGAGGAAGGCTGTGAGACAATGTGAAGAGATGTATCCCCATCTTGTATCATACGGCTGTTTAGCGCACACATTACATTTATTGTGCAGCGATATTTTGAAATTATCTTCAATAGAGACACATTTGTCACATATTATACATATCGTTAAAACTATTAACCAGTGTCAAGTACTGAGAGCTCAATTCACAGAAATAAGAAATGAGATGAAGTGTGGAGTGTCTCTTAGCCTACCTGTAAAAACAAGATGGGGTTCACATGTAAAATGTCTTCAAGATCTGACTAAATGCAAGTCCGTCCTACAACGTCTAGCAATATCTCCAGATAAAACAATTCAAGATAGAATACGCAGCGCAAAAGCAAATTTACTTGATGAAGGATTCTGGATAAATTCTAGCGCTCTTGTTGAATTGCTTAAGCCAATTACTGAAGCAATAACACGTCTTGAAGGAGATTCTTCGTCAATTCATTTGGTTTGTGAAACTTTCGCGAAAATCGGTAGTAACATATCTACTCATTTAGAATGCGTGAAACTAACGGATTGCGAAAAAACAGAAGCGATGGATAAATTTATATCAAGGAAGGAATACGCCCTTCAACCGATCCATTTTGCCGCAGACTTACTAAACCCTCGGTCTGTTGGTGCAAATTTATCATCAGCCGAAAGGATTGAAGCGATGAAATACATTACTACTATGTCAACCACGACCACGATAGAGATTGGTGATGAAGGAGTGTCAAAGATTACTGAGGATTTAGGAAACTATTTAGCTAAAACAGACTTTTTTGGCGAAACATTTTTATGGAACATACTCGATAATGTCTCTTTGGTTACATGGTGGAAAGGATTTTGTGGACATTCATGCCTCTCCAAAGTTGCAGTCAGGATATTGACAATGCCGTGCACTTCTGCGGCAACAGAGAGAAGCTTTAGCTCCCAGAGCAGCATTCATACGAAGAGAAGAAATCGCCTAACAACTCAAAGGGCAGCAAATTTAAATTATATACAATATAATTCAAAATTGCTGAAACGTTCACGACAACATCACATACAAAGTCAATATCCTATAGAAGAGACTGTACAGAACAACGTTTCGATAGAAGGTAGAAACTTACAGAAGGAGATAGAAGTAATTGAAAACCATATTTCCGAAGAGGAAGAATTAGACGAGGTAATTTTAAATTTAGGCATTTTTTAGATATGTGATATGTGCATGTGATATATGCAGTTTGCTTCTTTTCCGATTTTCCAATGCATTCCACCGTTTTCGAATAAAAAATTATAAATCTTATGTTTTCAGACAATATCATCATGGCATTCAAATACAACAGGAAATGGAAATTCCGACGATGATTTTAATTTTGCTGACTTTGCAATGACCGATGATGAAATTGATCAAAGAATGGAAACTAGGGAACAGAGACCAGCACGCATTTTGAGACAAAGCAAAGTGAACATTTTAGAAAACGTCTTAATGAAATCGGTAAATTAGTGTAAACACATACATATTTATTGTTTATATTCCAAAATTATCAATTTCAGGGTAAAGGCACAGAACAACCCCAAAAAAAAACGGAAGTCGAGAAGGATACTTCAGATGCCGAAAACAAGGTAGTTAGATCTGTATATATTATATTATAAACCCATTATTTTTACTCTCTATGTTTACACTTTCCTATTTAATTTCAGGATGCAGTTCTGGATTTGCCGGAGATAAAAAAAATTACACAAGGCTCATTGGAAGAGCAAACAATTGAAACTTCGACGTTTTATAACAAGAAGGTCTCCAGTTGTCTGCGAAAAAGGAAGTTGTGATTTATAAAAGCCGCTTAAAACAAAACTAAAGAACCTATGTTTTCATTTCTTTATTATTTGTATGTATTTCTTATCCACTTTTCTTTATTTCATAAGTATGTAGTTACTTTGTGTTTATTATATTCAATATGAATGCAAACAATTGATTTTTTAATACAATGAACATAAATTACATAAGTTACATAAATTACATCTGGTTTGTAATTTTTGGGTAATTTTACACGTGTAACTTACAATTTCTGAAATTACACGTAATTTCACATCGCTAGTTGTATCACATTTGATATTAACAGGTCTCATTTCGTTTTTTGTCTCATTAGCTCATTATCCTTGTTATCTGCTTTGTATCTTTAAAGCCACAATTCAGTGCATTGAAGCTAGCCCGAACACTCACTTGAGATTTAGTGTCTCTTTGGCCATTTAAATTTGTTCCTCTGAGCTTAGCCCTATTTTTAGTATTTTCATCACCTCTCTTCCAGTTCTTCTGGAATTTGGAAGTCTTACACTTCCTAAAATCCAATACTCCCGGAGTATTGAGGTTTCAATTGGCGCCCAACGTGGGGCGTCTTTTCCACTTCTGCCTTTAAAAAAAAATATATCGTCGCTGAAAAGTGTAAACCTGCTATCTCCACTTTTGGGTGATTTTGTGATTTTGACATAATTAAAAAGAGAAAAAAATTCTACATAATCATAAAAACTGTCATCTTCATTAAAATTCAAATAAGTGAATTAATTCGCCTCAGTATTTCCTGCTAACTCCGCACATTCTTAACTTGTCACGGAAATATTGCTATCTCCAGTAGTTTGGTTAGAACATACAAACTACAAGTACGTCGGCTGATTTTGTTATGTTTTGTTTAGATTTTTTATTATTTGGAAGTTCTTTTGTTACCAATATTTAAAGGTATGTATGTTTAATGTATTACATAATAGTTTTTGTTATATAAATATCTTTAAATTTAATTTAAATCATAATACGAAAATTGGCGCCTTTTCTCATTGGCGTCATGGTTAAGTTAAAATTTTGGCGCTATTAGTTCAGGCGCTTCATCTACATTATTGTTATTCATATTTAAATCGTAGATAACGTTTTTATGTTATATGTTTTATGTTGAAAAGCTTTAGTTTAATCTGTTTGTTATTAAATTATGCTTTAAGATGTTTACCTCGGTACTTATAGTCATACTTTTTTACTTTACAGATGTCTTTCAACACTCGTTCAAAGAGGATTATATCAATGGTAGAAAAAATGGAAGAACCGTCAAATTTTAATTCCGAAGACGTCAACTGCATTGCTGCTAGTTCGACCGGCAGCAATCTTATTATATCAGGAGTAGTATTAGCTAGTAATGACCTGGAAAACAATAGTCAAACTCATTTTACAGAAAATCTAGCTATTGTTGACAATATTGACATTGAGGTAATAGATGTTCCATACGTAGAACACAACGAGAAGACTGATGGAGAAATTCAGGTATATCTTATAAGTGAAAATGAAAATACAATGAGTAATTCAAGCCACCGCGGCAAATTGGTACCCTATTCTGACTCCAGTTCCAGTTCCGATTCTGAAAGTTTACCTCAGAAAAGTAAAACTAGAAAAAGGCGGTTCCAAGTAAATAAAAATAGCTGGTTTAGTGAGCAGAACAAAAATAGACGAGAAAAAGGACAAAGATATTTGGGTCGCCAAAACGTTGATCAAAAATGGGCTTATGAAACAATAAAGGAAGCTAGGCAGATGAAGACAAGATGTTGTTGTACCGATAAAGCATCCAAACTTTTGAAATGCACGCAAGTAACAGAGGATCAACGCAAAAGTATTTTTGAACACTTTTGGACGAAATTAACGTGGGGAGAGAGAAAAGTTTATGTGAATAACACAGTCACTGCCGCCACTACGCAAAGACACAGAGATCGCAAAAATGCACTGTTTTCTAGAAGATCCCAGTCACTATTTTATCATCTCAGAATTAATGATATTAACATCCGAGTTTGTAGAACCATGTACTTGAACACATTATGCCTAGGAAGATGGACAGTTCTCAATTGGAAACATAATGGGAATATGGGCATTACAAGTACACCAAAGCCAGCGGCAATGAACGAAAATCATACAAAACCGTTTAAAACGGAGAAACAACATCTAAATGCCTTTTTAGATGCATTGCCAGTAATGGAATCTCATTACTGTCGAGCTTCGTCGTCTCGAAAGTACCTTCTGCCTGAATGGTCCTCAAAACAGTCACTTTATAAGTTTTATGTAGCAGACCATTGTCAGAAACAGAATATAAAACCGCTTTCCAGGACATATTTTAACCAGGCTCTAGACATGCGTAACATTTCTCTATTCCATCCAAAAAAAGACGAATGTGAAAAATGTGCTGGTTTCAAGGTAGGAAGTGTTTGCGAAACAGAATATACGGCACATCAAACGAGAAAACGGGAAGCTAGACAGGAGAAGCAGAAGGACAAAGAAGAAGAAGCTTATGTTTTCACTGTAGACTTGCAGGCGGTTTTGTTGGCACCAAAATCGAAGGTGAGTACTTTGTACTACAGAACAAAACTACAAGTTCACAACTTATGCTTCTATAATTTAATCAATCATGACGGTTTCTGTTTCCTGTGGAATGAAACTGAAGGTGGTTTAAATGCAGAAGAATTTGCTTCAATTTGGGTATATTTTCTAAAAGAATACACAAAATAATACAAATTAACAATTCAGACTAACTCTAGAATGTTACATCGCATGCTGCTAACTGCCTAACATTTGATAAGTTGTGGTTAAGAAATCCTGCTATCTCCACTTTTTTTAAAGAAATAAACAGTGCATCACTTATTCTTATGTTACTATTATTCTAAAATGTGGTCCTTTTGCATATTCGTTATGAAATGGATTGATTTTTTCCTAGAATCTACTTTAATTTTTTAATTCGGTTTTTACTGTCTCCTGTAAAGTTAGGTCAAATGGAGATAGCAGGTTTACACTTTTCACTGACGATATATCTCCTTTAATTTTTGGTTTTGATCTTAGGTTGTTGTGGTTGTCACTGGTTGTGCTTTTAGATTTTCATTTTAACGTTTAGTTTTGTTTTTCAATTTTTTTCTTGGACATTACCTTATATCTGTATCTTAAATCGACTTGTTTTGCTATATACTGTGTAGACTGAATAAATTGCTTTGTTTTTGATTGATTAAATAACAATTTTAGATTAATAATAAATTAATTAAAAATTTAAATAACCAAAGTTAACTATTTCACATATTTTACAAGTCCGGAGTAGTCAATAAGTTGAGTCACTACCTCGAAATAACAGTTGTTGAAATTTTAGGTTCCTTAGGGTGTTATAGCAGTATATTTCATTGGATTTCATAACTGGACCAAAACAATTAAACATTACTGGTATAGGTATCCCTTCAGAATATTAATTTGAGGACAGAGAGTAAGTTAAACTTTACCTACTTTTACTCATTCTCTCGTATATTTCTGTTGTGTAATATGTCTGCGTTCAAGGTAGAGCATCTGTTAGCTCCTGAATTAGAGTATGAGTTGAGAGTCCGTCACTTAAACGATCCATCTTTGACAACCGTGGAAAGGAAAAGGGTAGTGTTGCGTGGTGCACTGAAGCAAACTTCATCCAATCGGAGTTTCGCTGTTCTGTCAGCTTCCCATCTTAATTTAAGGATGAGATTGCTGAAATAGAGGTTACTCTTGCAGATCTGGTGGTCAAAATTGATTCTTTTGTTGGTTCTTCTAGTGATACTGCCTATGCTCGTTATACTTCTCGGTTAGGTCATGTTGAAGCTAGAATCCATCTGTTAGAAGCTACAACAGAGGAAGAGGAGGAAGTGAAGAGGTCTCTTAATTTCAGGGTTTTGATTCTGGAAGGTGAACTTGATGGTAAAGTGATTCCACAGGCACAGTCAACTCCTCATGATGCTAGTGTTCCAGTCAACTCGTTTCCTTTTGTTAAGTCTGCTCCTATTCATAAATGGGGTGTGCATTTTTCAGGACAATCAAATGAAAATGTAGTTAGTTTCTTGGAGAAGGTAGAATGTCTGCGCATAGCACGTGGTAACAGCGAGGAAGAGTGTTACTCTTCTGCTGCCGATTTATTTAAAGACTCAGCTTTTACTTGGTACCTCAATAACCGAGGTAGTTTTGCTTCTTGGCAAGAGTTAGTTGCCAAACTTAGATAAGATTTTCTTCCTTATAACTATGAGGATAATCTCCTTGACGAAATCAAGTCTCGTAAACAAGCTCCACAGGAGAAAGTTACAATTTTTATTAATGAGATTGTTAGTTTGTGTAAACGGTTGGAGACTCCTTTGTCTGAGTCACATATCATAAGGATCATTAGGAAAAATTTGTTGCCATCGTATCATTCTAGTCTGGCACTTACAGATATTCCCTCGATAGCTGATCTTACTAAAAAATGTAAGAAGCTGGAAGAAGTTTTGTCATGGTCTTCTGACAGCGTGTCTAGAGTTCCTATTCGGCAGAATTTTAGAAATCCTGATTCGTCCTATTCGGGTAGACCAAATTATTCTCGGTCGGATAATGTCGCTGCTTTCAATTCGAAGCTTACCTGTTGGAATTGTCGTCAATCAGGGCATAAGTATTATGAATGTTCTGAACCTAGAATTCGGTTTTGTTATGGATGTGGACGTCAAGGTGTCCGCAAATTTGAATGCCAATTCTGTTCGGGAAACGACAGAAGGGGTGGGTTGGCCCTGGCTCCTACTCCTCGTCAAAATACAGGGAATACAAACACTGTCCAAACTCCTCAAAACCAAGGAACCAGTTGCTCGAGTCTGGATGCCCAAGCTTCCACAAGCCAAACATCTCACCCTCCACCGAAAGACAAAAGACCACAGAACGGCAAATACCAACCGAAGAGAGGACAACGTTAGTTGAGCACGAGCGCCGTAATTCTTCTGTAGTTTCTTCATGTAATCCCTTGTCTTCGTTTGTTGATTTAGATATAAACTCATTGTTGGTTCGAAAAAAACAAGGATAATCGTCCATATCTTGAAATCTCTATCTTAGGACATTCTTGTTTAGCTTTACTGGACACAGGGTCCAATATCTCTATTT